ATTGGTTGATGCCATTCTACTAGGACCCAAGGTCACGGGACAGGTCAGGAGACCGAGTCTCTTGAAATGCAAAACAAGGCTCCGAGCACACCGGCCTAAGGCGGCAACATCAAAGGATATGTATACCTCCAGGCTGAAGGACTGCTGGCACTATCTGGCCAAGGCCACATCCTGACGGCTCCCTACAGACATCTCCAGCCTACGACCGGCTCTTGGGATAACACCTGATCTAATAATTCATTTAAATAAGACCTTGGATGGTGATAAAGACTTAAACAGCCCTAGAGAATTAACAGCCAAAGCAGAAAAAGAACTGACAATGGTTGAAGAAAAATTACAGGAGGCTCATGTGGACAGGGTAAATCCAAAGCTTAGTTTATTCTTGTCATATTGCCTTCCAGGATTTCTCCTACAGGAATCTTGATGCAAAGAGATGATATTATCTTGGAATGGATCTTTTTACCACACAAACCAAGTAAAAAATTAAAAACTTATGTGGAAAAAGTCTCTGAATTGATTATAAAAGGAAAATTGAGACTTCGTCAATTAGCAGGTATAGACCCAGCAGAAATTATAGTGCCTTTCACTGCTGATGAGATAAAAAAAAAAGTTGTGGGAAGACAATGAACCATGGCAAAGAGCTTGTGCTAATTTTTTGGGAGAAATCAATAACAATTACCCAAAAAGCAAGAGACTTAATTTTATAAAGAGAACTTCTTGGATCCTCCCTCGAATTGTCCGTGATGCTCCAATAACTGGAGCCCGTACGTTTTATACCGATGCTAATAAATCAGGGAAAGCAGGTTACAAATCAGAAGAATTGAGTAAAGTGGAACAAAGTCCTTATGATTCTGTTCAGAAGGCAGAATTATATGCCATCCTTATGGTGCTTAGGGATTTTAAAGAACCTCTTAATATAATTACTGATTCACAATATGCAGAAAGAGTTATTTTGCATATTGAAACTGCTGAATTTATACCTGATGATACAGAACTGACCTCATTGTTTATCCAGGTACAAGACATGATCAGAAACAGGCTCTGCCCTATGTATATAATGCATATCCGATCCCATACAGGTCTGCCAGGTCCTCTAGCACAAGGTAATGCAGATATTGATCAATTATTGATTGGTAGTGTGCTGCGGGCATCTGAATTTCATAAAAAAATATCATGTCAATAGCAAAGGCTTGAAAAAAGAGTTTTCTATTACATGGCAACAAGCTAAGGAGATTGTAAAGAAATGCCCTACTTGCTCTTTTTATAACCAAACACCATTGCCTGCAGGGACTAATCCAAAGGGTATTAAAAGGAATGAAATTTGGCAGATGGATGTGTTTCACTTTCCAGAATTTGGCAAATTAAAATATGTACATCACACCATTGACACGTACTCAGGTTTCCAATGGGCAACTGCTTTAAGCTCAGAAAAAGCTGATTCAGTAATCACTCATTTAATAGAAGTTATGGCCATCATGGGTATACCTACACAGATAAAGACAGATAATGGTCCAGCTTATGTTTCTAGGAAAATGACACGATTTTTTGCTTATTATAATATTAAGCATGTTACAGGTATACCATACAATCCTACAGGTCAAGCAGTTATAGAAAGATCAAATCGAACTATAAAAGATATGTTGAACAAACAGAAAGGGGTGGAAAATACCCCCAGGAATAGGTTACATAATGCTTTATTAACCTTGAATTTTCTCAATGCTAATGAGAAGGGGACAACGGCTGCAGAAAGACATTGGATATTGGAAAAGTCTGCTGAATTAAATCAACCAATTTATTTCAAGGATGTGCTGACCTCACAGTGGAAGCCAGGAGATGTGCTTAGTTGGGAAAGGGGTTTTGCTCTTGTTTCCACAGGAGAAGAAAAATTGTGGATACCATCAAAATTAATAAAGGTTAGATCCGAAGAGAAGAAACCTCTTGGAACAGAGAAATGACAGTATCTACAATGATGATGTCCATACAGGTGGTAAGAAAAATATAAAATGGGGGCAGGGTTCTGCTCTTGTCTCCACAGGAAAACACTCGTCTTTGAAAAATTCAAAGTACCCTGGATGTTTGAATACTGACAGATGGAAAAATAACTACCCAATATGGATTATCAAGAAAACTGAATAGGTTCTGTGAGTATGAAACTCTGGACTATACTAAATCATATTTCTGAATTTATAGAGCTGGTTTTGGAGTTGGACTCTTGGCTCGGTCCCTCTCTAATTCCAAGCCTGTTGTTAGGAGAAAAACCCAGAGTTTCTGGAGTTTCTGTCTTATGTCAAGAGCCATGATATGAGACAGAAAGAAATATGAGTTTAGAAAACATCTTTGTTTTTCTTCATATATATCCTACTTTTCATTGAATATGCCTACCATACCTTTCATTGAATATGTTTGTATATGTCTATATAATTAATGTTGAAGTTTTCCACAATGAACAATGAGTTCTTTCTGCACTGACATTTGAAGTTTTCAGGAAGAAGATGGGACCCCCATAACAACAACTCCACTCGGTTGATATGACGTCATGATACTGATAGTGCTACTACAAGTCCTGTTTCGGGTATCAGCTGCACAGATGATTCCAACTTGGTTAGCTGAAATGGTGCACATCTTGTACAACATTCTGGTCAGATCTCCACAAAATACTCAGAAACTGTTTGCAATTTTAAAAGACATTGACCTTGAAATTTAACCATCATTTTACTTTCACAGGATCCTCCAGAAAGAACCTTACCCCCATGACAGCTGAAAGTAATTCTAGAGGACGATGTCCCCTCTCTCAGAAAAGTTTGTCCTGAGGTTTAGGAACAATATTTAGGGATTGATTATAATTAGTATACGGTTGAGAGTTGGGAAAGGAATTTTATAAGCTCAGGGATCTTTTGGAAAAAAAAGAAAAAAAAGGGATAATTGGATAGATAATAATGGTATTTGTGAGTTATTGTTTATAGATAATTACATTGGCATATATTGAATATTGTATGTGTGCATGCTTCTACCTGTTTAAAACATTTTTTATGTATTGATATATATATTGCATTAATATATGTATACCATATTGCAGTGTACATTTCTACCTCTGATTAAGATACTAATATATTGTTTATGTATTGATATTATTGTTTACATTTGGAGGTCATTGTCCTCATTTATTGCACAGTTGTTTATTTTCTTAGTCTTTAAGTTAGATATGTGTTAAGAATTGTAGATCAATAGTCATCTATGTCTGTCATATTTATGGTTAGACTAATCAGGTTCTTTAGATACATAGAGATTATATTCTGTATAAATAGTCTTCAACCTCTTCAAAGAGCTGTAGAAAATGGCATTTAATTTAATCTTAGAGTTCTGTGTAGTGAGACACAATCACTCCTGGCAACACCGACCTATTCCTGAGAGATTGTTGAGCACCAAAGACACTCCACTTGGAGCTTGTCTTCTTGACAAAACCGGCCTCTAGGCAAGGAACTGCCCATACCTCAACTACTGACAAATACACGGTATCTGAAAATGGATAAGCAGAACTGTCCAATCTTACCAAGACAGGGTAAGATGGTTTTGAAAAATCTCTTGCCTGTTAAAATCCGGAAATGGATAAAATTCGGAAATGGATAGACAGAACTGTTAAATCTTGCCAAAACAGGGTAAGATGGTTTTGAAAAATCTCTTGCCTGTTAAAAATAATCTGTCAGTTATTCTAGGCCTTAGTCAAAGTTGGTTGCTCCAACACTGCAAACAGGTCTTTGGTGATTGCCCAGGTAGCCAGTTGTCTCTGTGATTTGTTGCATGTTTTGGAAGTTCTTTGATTGCACTTCCTAATTACTCAGGTAACATTATTTCCCTTCTCGGATCTTCTATGGGATTGAAGACTAGCTACTTTCCTCTCATGACTTGGCCAAGTTATTTATTGTATAAGACTTAAGCTAGTTAGAATAGGATATTTGTACTTATCGTATATAATTTTGTAGGTTTGTACTTACTGTATATAATTTCATAGTAGGCTTAGAATTCTCTTACTTAAACAAAAGGGGGAGATGCTGCGGGAGTACCTTCCGCTCCTTCAGCCAATAGTCGCTGAAGTACGAGCCCACAATGCTGCGGCACCAGCTTCCGCTCCTTCAGCTAATAGCCGCCGAAATACCAGCCCACTGGGGCGTGGTATATTTCTCTTTTAAAAAGAGCCACAAGTCTCGGCCTGGGCTCTCTTGGTTCCGGCGCTTGTTTCCAGCTCCTGCTCCAGCAACTAGGCTCCTTTCCTGACAGTTTGTGTGTATGTAAGTTTTACCCCCCAAAATAAATACCCCTTTAAAACCTAACTGGTGTGGGATTGATTCGCCATTAAGTGGCTCCAAGGAAGAGGAAAACAGGTTCCATACAACCAGTGCAGTCACACATAAAATGTGTGTAACAGATTATTCCTCATGAATGAGAATTTCTGGCAGCAGAAAAAAAGGGGAAAAAATATAGGACAGAAAGATGAAAGATGCCCGTTCCATCATTACCATCAGGACATTCAGCTGAAGGAATACCAGCCCTAGTCTTATTTTATAGATAATGACACCCAATTCCTAAATTAGGGGAAAACATGGAAAAGATGGTATGCCATTTTCATTATAAATCAAAAACTTATCTTATTTATAAATTCAATGGAAACCACCAAAAACCTACTATTATCTATACATGTTGATTCATAAAATAAATAAATATTAGAATATTTTAATAGAATTATTTTCAAATTCATTGAAACAGAAAAATATACAAATCCTTGTCTGTAATATTTTGTTATGATGAAACTAGGATAGCAGGCACAGACTTACAGCACCTCTTAGTAATGAATAAAGAGTCAGGACATGGACTAAGCCTGATGCCTTGATTTCAGCCTCTGGATCTACATGAACACGTGTCTTTGACTTGTACACATCAACTGTAGCACATGCATGTTCACACACAAATGAAAACAACTACTAAAAATAAAAAGAGACATGATATACAAATAATTCCTTTGTATCAGCAAAATGAATTCTGTAAATGCCTCGTAAGTTTTCAGCCTCTACTTCAGATTCACTGGCTAGATTTTGATGGCACTTGTATAAAGATTCAAAGCTGTGATCTTGTCCATTATGTCGTAGGCACCTATCATGTTTAGTGCCCGAACAAGTTGGTCTCTTAAGGCAGTAGCTGTGAGTAACAAGCTTTTATCTGCTTTCCACTTAATAAGTGCATGGTAGATCCTCTCATTTAATGGAGTAGTGCTGTGAAAATTTAAATAATGATTATCTTAATAACCAGCCAAACCATTATTTTAAGCTACTCAAAGATTATCTAAGTTTTCAAATTAATTTTCCACATCAATGTGAGACTAAATTTAACTGAAGACAGTATATATGAACATTTACAATGAGCCTGACACACAGAAGCAAACATTAGCTCCTTTTTTTTCTTATAAAAAAGCCCACATTTCAACTTACATTCAACTATTAAGACAATAATCACTGTGGGTTACATAAACCAATACGAGAAAATGCTTGGTCTCACTTGATTGTCATGGCAGCTTTCTAAACTTATGTATTCATTTTACCATGGAAGAAACTGAAGCAGAGAGAAAGAAAAGGAAATGCTCAAGTTCAGGAAATCAGCTGGACTGAAAGTCCAACAGCTTCTCCTCACACAGTCCTCCTTCTTCTTCTTCATTACATTGTATGGTTGCCCAGCAAGTATCTCAAACACATTAGAAGCTAAAGGTCACCATCTATAGTAGGGTTTATGTTAATGTAAATATTTCTAAACTATGTTGATATGAAGACCATGTAAATGAGGTATGAAAATACATTTGTACCAAATGCTATTTATACTTACTTCTTTACAGGGAAGCTATTTTCTGAGCTTGTGATGTTCAGTTTTTGTTGCAAAAATTCAAAATTTATTTCAGTGACATTGTTGGCAACTATGTTGAATATCTTCTCTAAGATTTTTTCTACATTTGAACACAGAAGAAACATTATTCATTCCGAGAAAAAAGACACTTTGAGCTAATATTTAGTTTTCTTCTGTGTTTTTATCAAACATATATGTCAAATAAAATTGAAAGTGACAATATAGAGCTGAACTATCTTCAAGTTGTACTCCCCATCCTGTTGCTTCTAGAATCTGAGGAGTCCCACAGACCTACTTGAAAAGAATCTTACAAGCAACTTTACAGTGATCTCCAAGTTCCTCTCTTCAATTCTGGCTTTTTTTATATTAACTACCTTGAAAAACTACCATCTATTGTAAACATGGCATATAGATAAATATTTATAATAAAAATTATTATTTAGATAGATATTAATTTTTTAATTTATTAAAGGTTAGGCATGGTAGAATACATCTTTAATGCCAGCACTTAAAAAGGCAATCTCTGTGAGTTCAAGGCTAGCCTAGTCTACATAGTGAGTTCTAGGGCAACCAGGACTACATAGAGAGACCTGATCTCAAAAATGAGCATGTTTAGGGGGCTACATGTGAGTGTAGGCCCCCACAGAGGCCAAAGGTATCAGATCCTCTGGGATTGGAGTTTCAGGCAGTTGTGAGCTACCAACATGGGTGCTGGGAACTGAACTCAGGATCTCTGCAAGAGCACTGTACACTCTTAAACACTGAGCCATCTTTCAAACCCATTAGTGCCTTTTTAAAATAATAAAGCTTCTAGATAGTGTTATCTAGATATGTCTTTTTTGACCAGAAGCTCCTAAATCACGTGATTTAAAGTCATCTTTGATGATTAGAGTACTATGAAAAATTTCAAGATCTCCCATGCTCTGTATCATCTCATAAACATTATGACCTTTTTATTTTGAAAAAATGTATATAAACTATTAATTACTTAGAATATATTTCATACTAATAATAAAAAGAAAATCAAAGTGCTTAATAAAATGCTCAGAAATACAGTACTTTTTAATACAACTTTGTCATTAGCTTATACTGGTATATGCCCTTGGTTATGTAGATATGGTACATGATAGAATGATTGGGGAGCATATATTCCAATTTTCCCCAATATTGAATAATCTGAGTTATCAACACCTTCAGAAAAAGGAAGATGATAAACATTTTGATGTTACTGCCAGCTCACAGTCTCCAATCAAAGCAGGCTCCTTTACTATACAGATACCAGAAAACTTCTTACAAAGATTGTTTCTCACTCATCACCCACCATCTCTTTCATCTGCTCTTTGGAGATAGCGTGCAATAGTATGCAGCTGTTTTCCTTTGCAGATTTCCATTGGTGGTCTCCACAATGGATTGTCATCAAAATTTATCTCTTTCAGCGAAAAAAGACTGTAGATAGCACTAGGTAGAGCTGTCAGGTTGTTTCCTAATGAAGAAAAAACTTGTAAGGAATTTCATCTTTCTGTAAAATTAAACTACAGAAACAGAAACTATGCACACAGAAGTCTACTGTGCTGGTAAAGTGTCCAAGGACTTTCCCAGTGATGACAGTTCCAAAGTTCTTACTAATGTTCACGCTAGAAGGATAAAAAAGAGTGTATTAAAAACCAATGTAGTTCCTTTGTCTCCTAGGGCTGGCAAAATGAAGCCAGAGGCTATCTTTTTACAATATAGCAAATGACTTTTCAGGGTAGGTATTATCATTTTTAATATAAACTTTTAAAAAGAAAATTAGTTTTATGCAAGTATATATGGCATGGTAAGCATTTCTTCCATGTCCCTGACCCCTTTTTTCTTACCCCTCCCTCTCCTTTGTCCTATTTGTTCTCTACACTGTCACTTCTTCCATACATGGATTGTCTTTTTGTATACATGTAAGAATCACAAGAGAGAGGAAACACTATCAGTCTGCATGACGCTGTCTGAATTCACTTAATATGATCCCCCATTGTGTTCATTTTCTTGCAAATGACATGACTTTATTCTTTATGACTAAAACCCCTCTATTTTGAGTATATATCATATTTTCTTTGTCATTGCTTGAAGAGAATACGCTTAAAAGAAATCCCACACTAGCTCAGAATTGAGAAATAGCTGGTTATTCATTTAGGGGTAAACTCACAAATCAGAATCCTCTGCTGGAACGGAGATCAGAAACAGAAACCCACAACCGGAACAGAGAGGCCTCAAAAGAGGCTGGATGCATGCTCTGTATCGGCATATATAGTATAAGAGGCCACGCCCCAGTGGGCGGGTAACCACTGGCTGTAAGACTTCCTACAGCAATTGCTCTGTTTTTTTAATTAATTAATTAATTAATTTATTAAAAATTTCCACCTCCTTCCCGCCTCCCTTTTCCCTCCCCCTCCCCACCTCCCCCTCCCTTTCTAGTCTTAAGAGCAGTCAGGGTTCCCTGTCCCGTGGGAAGTCCAAGGTCCTCCCCCCTCCATCCAGGTCTATAAAGGTGAGCATCCAAACAAACCAGGCTCCCACAAAGTCAGTTCATGCAGTAGAATAAAAACCCAGTGCCATTGTCCTTGGCCTCTCAGTCAGCCTTCATTGCCAGCCACATTCAGGGTGTCCAGTTTGATCACATGCTCCATCACTCCCAGTCCAGCTGGCCTTGGTGAGCTCCCATTAGATCAGTCCCACCGTCTCAGTGGGTGGACGCACCCCTCGCGGTCCTGACTTCCTTGCTCATGTTCTCCCTCCTTCTGCTACTCATTTGGACCTTGGGAGCTAATTGCTCTGTTTTTTGACACCTAAGTTGTTTCATAAACTTGCTCATGTGAACACTGCTCAGTGAACACTGATATACAGGTGTGTCTGTGATGTATTGACTTGGAGTGTTTGTGTAAAAATGAGTGTGGTATTTAGGTCATATAGGAGATCAGGGTTTAGTTTGCTGAAAAACCTTGATACTGACTTCCCTGGTTTCCTATTTTTCCACATCCTTGCCAGAATTTGTTGTTGCTTGTTTTCTTAATGAATGCCATCCTGGCTTGAATAATTTTAGATACACAGAAACACTGGAGTGCTTTGGTGTTGGCTAATTCTATCTCACACTAGAGTGCTGCCATTCTATTATTTATGTATGGTATATTTCTGTTAGTTACAAATGCAGATGAAGACCTGTTCCTCTTACTGAAGGGTGGTATCAAGAAATCAAGACCTGAAGCAGCATGTGCAGCATTAGGAAGGCACCTGTCTCATGCTCCTGAGACCCTGGCTTCCATCCTCACAAAAAAGACAAAACAGAGGGGGTGGGAGGACTCAGTATCTAGTGCTATTCATTTTGTGGGGGGGACAGAGAAGGGAGGAATAAAGTACATTATAAGAACTCAGATGAGTCATATAAAAATATGCATGTGTAGAGTCTAAAGGCCACAATGCACAGACCCTGACTTTTCTCACTTGCCACTTGAGAGTCATCAAAGTTCTCATTAATAGCTTGGCTCCTTTTATTAATAAGTATTCCATTAGATAGATGTCAATAATTTATTCATTCATTAAATAAAGAAGATACTTGAGTTTCCAGTTTGAGTGAGTGATTAAGAATAAAGTCATTCTATACATTTGCACTTATTATTTTTAAATATAACTTTAAAATATAGTTGAAGTTTGATTAATGGATCATAAGTGAGTGTGAACGTAACTTTATAAGAAATAACCAGTATTTCAAAAATGCTTATACCATTTTTTCATTCCTGCTAAAAGCGTATCAGAGTTACAGTTTCCCACATTTTAACTCCTCATAGTTTGCCAGACTTTAGTTCTTCTGCTAGTGTTATCGAGTGTACTTCCGAACTTCCTTACTCTGACACTGATGCTCCCCAGTATTGTTTATGTGTAGCTGCTGTTTGTGTGCACTCTTTAAAAAGGAGCCACTCAACATCTATGTAGATTCTGGTTGAGCTGACATTTTTCATAGTGTTGGATTAACTCAGGGGCTTCCCTATATTAAGCAAGTACTGTACCACACTGTGTTCTAGTTCTAAGCTCTTGACTTCTTTTTAAAATTCTCTCTCTCTCTCTCTCTCTCTCTCTCTCTCTCTCTCTGTGTGTGTGTGTGTGTATGTGAGATGCATGTGTGTTTGTACATGTGCATGTTGACCACATAGTTACTTTCTACATATACAGCAATTGTTTTATAAACTATGTGGTTTTTCTATTCTTTTTTTAAAAATTCTCTTCATAAGGCCTGAGTTTCACATTTTGCTGAAATCTAATGTCAATTATTTAGATTTACTTCTATTTTCAAAGCCTTCCATTCTCCAGCCAAGCACCATATTCCTAACTCTCATTAATTGTTAATATAATAGCTGAGAAAATTTTGTCAATGTTTTCTATTTATCTGCAAGTTTTTTTTACTTTTAGTTTTATAGCTAGATCTGTGATGCATTTTGGGGCTTTTCTAAAATGATGCGTGGCACAGATGAAAGTTTTGTTGAAATTGTTTTTATTTGGTCTTCCTTTGTATTTTGGCATCTAAAGTATACTGTTTATTGATAATATAATTTTCTATTGAATTACTTCCACACATTTGGGTTTGATCTTTATTTTATTTTAATTTTTTTGCTTTCTAAATTTAAAAAAAAAATCCAAGTCAAATTGTATCAGCTTTATTAAAGACACTTCCGATAAACAATCACAGTATTTCATGCAGGATGTTGGCAGACAATCACTAATAATACACAAGAACTTCCAAATTCCCTTCTTGTATCGACTACCAAAAATCAGACAGCCACTGTAAAACCAGATGAGTCTTCATTTGAAGCTCCGAAAAGGAAAGAAGCATAGAGTGAGGGTTGACAGCTCACACTGAGGATGTTGTTTAACAGCTGTTAACAGGCCAACCCTGATTTTCAGGACATCAAAAGAAAACGGTAGAATTATCAGTCTGAAGATCCACAGTCTTTTATAAAAGTAGCCACTGCTCTTTTGAGGACACTCAGTTATGTCACTGCAAAGTCCAGATTGCCCAATAGACCAGCCAAATCAGTTTTGGGGGTCAGGTTCCAACAGGGCTCTGGTTTTAAGGAAGTTAAGTCTATGTTAATGGTATAGGGGGAAGAGGATATAAAGACGAATTTAGAGTTTTCCAACACAACATGGTCAAAACGGCAATCCCCAAAAGCAATCTATAGATTCAATGCAATCCCCATCAAAATTCCAACACAGACCTTGAAAAAACAATAATCAACTTCATATGGAAAAACAAAAACCCCAGAATAGCCAAAACAATTCTGTACCATAAAGGAACTTCCACAGGCATTACCATCCCTGACATCAAGCTCTATTATAGAGCCATGGTAATGAAAACAGCTTAGTATTAGCCTAAAAATAGACAAATTGACCAATGGAATCGAATCAAAGATCTGGATATTAATCCACACACCTATGAACACCTGGTTTTGACAAATAAACTAAAATTATACAATAGAAAAAAAGCATATTCAACAAATGGTGTTGGCATACTGGATGTCAACCTGTAGAAGAATGCAAATAGATCCATATCTATCCCCATGCACAAAACTCAAGTCCAAATGGATTAAATATCAATATAAATCCAACCACACTGAGCCTGATAGAAGAGAAAGTGGAAAGTAGCCTTCAATGCATGGGTACAGGAGACCACTTCCTACATAGAACCCCCATAGCACAGACACTGAAGGCCGCTTATAAAGGAAAACATTTAATTGAGGGGGCTCACTTATAGTTTATGAGGTTCAGTCATATCATTATGACAGGGAGCATGGTGCTGTGCAGGCAGACACAGTGTTGGAGCTGAGAATGGTACATCTTGCAGGCAGCTGGAAGTCAAGTGACTGTCACACTGAGGGAAGCTTGAGCAAAAGAGAATTTAAAAGCCAGTCCCACAATGCCATATTTCCTTTAAAAAGGTCACACCTCCTAACAGTGTCACTCCCTTTGGAGAAAGTGCCACTCAGTTTTCTTTCAAACTACCACAGTGACCTTCACAATCAGAATTCTGAGTAAAAAAAAAGTGTGTAATGGTAAAAATAAAACACTGCAGTCCCCCAAGGGGTGCAGCGGCAGGAACACTGCAGGACCCTGAATGGCAGCAGTGGGCAGCAGGTACGAGACCACAGCGGTCCCAGGCAGGGAGCTGCCAAGTGGTGGGTGAGAGACCTCAGCAGGGGCAGCCAGTCCCACAAGGAGCTGCAGCCACAGCAGGTGAGAGACAGATGGATAGGCACTTGCTGCAACAGGCAGCCATGAGGACCAGCAGGTCCTAGGCAGGAAGTCGCATGGTGAATGAGATACTGAGACTGAGGTTGGATATTTAATGGGTTGGGGGAAGGGGAGAAGAGAGAAGAGCAGAGAGAGAGAGAAACGGGGGTGGGGGAGAGCAGAGGAGCTATGGCAGCAACTACCTCTTTGGGAGAGAAATGAAAGAGAGCTCAGACCTAAAGCAGAAGATCAGCTTGCCTAGGGACAGGGGAGGAAGTGGGTGGGGCTTACAAAGAGGGCACGATATAGTATGAGAAGTCAATCCAGAGATGCATGGATAAACCAGATATTCAAGACAGAATTTTGTTTAACCATAGAAAGACAAATGAAATTATGATATCTGTAGAAAAATGAATAGTGGAGATAATTATGTTCGTCAAAGTAAGCAGGAGTCAGAATGACAAACACTGCAGTATCTTCCTCATATGCAGATTCCAGATTCAAATTTTAATTGCTTTATTATTGTATGTGTATAAGTATTTTTACTGCATATATGTATGCATATGTAAGGTTCCCATGGAAATTAGAAGATGGCGTTGAATCCCCTAGTACTACTGGAGTTACAGATAGTTATGAGCTGCCATGGGGGTTTTAGGAACTGAACCTGGGTCCTCTACAAGATCAACAAGTGCTCCTAACTTCAGAACCAACTCTCCAACTCATGACTCTAGATTTATATTCATGTGCATGTGTATAAACGTGCATGCATGTGCATGTGCAGGTGTGTGCCTGTTATGAAAGTAGCTAGAAAACCATGAGGAAGAGGAAAGGATCTTACAGAAAGAAAGAGGGAAGATAAAAATAGAATAACAGAATACAGGTGACATGAGAGAAGAAAGGGGGACTGGCAGGAGGACTGTAGCATGCAGTTGTGGGGGGAGAGAAATAGGAGCAAAGTATAATGGCATTGTGGAGGTTTGAAAAAATAACACCCAAAGGGAGTGGCGCTATTAGGAGGTGTGACCTTGTTGGAGGAAGTGCACCACTGTGGAAGCAGGTTTTGAGGATTCATATATGCTCGAGTCATGTCCAGTATCTCAGTCTAGTTCCTGTTGCCAGGAAGTCAAGATGAAAGACATGCAGTTACTTCTCCAGCACCACGTCTGCTTGTATGCAACCATGTCACACCATGATGATAATGAACTAAACCTCTGAAAATGTAAGCCACCCCAATTAAATGTTTTTCTTTTATAAGAGTTGCCATGGTAAGGTGTCTCTACATAGCAACAGAAACTCTAACTAAAATAGGTATATATGCATGAAATGTGATAATTAGGTCCATTACTTTGTATATCAACCTCAAAAGAAAGAGAGAGAGAGAGAGAGAGAGAGAGAGAGAGAGAGAGAGAGAGAGAGAGAGAGAATAAATAGAAAAAAAGACATAGCTTGAGGACCCTTTTAAAGTTCTGTTTAGGCCATGTACACAGTGATACTATTCAAAATATTTAATAACTGATCTGGCAGAGGAACTAAGCATCAGAACCAATGTTCCTGATACCAACAAGAAGAGCAAATAGAAAGGGTGGGAAGTAAAAACAGCACCCGTGGCTGTAAAGTAGACTGCAAAGAAAACTGGGCTGTCACTGAGGAATTGTCTTCCTTGGGTCCAAAGTGTCAGTATGCCCATCTCCTTTTCTTTCACTTGTTAGTCTGTTTTTTTGAGGCAGAGATGACAGCATCTGCTAAAATTCAGCACACCAGGCTCTGTGTTTAAATCTTGACAGATCCATCATTGCACTCCAAAGCAGTGATTCTCAATCCAGGGGTCATGACCCTTTTGGGAACAACAACCAATCCTTTCACAGAGGTCACCCCAAACCATTGGAAAACACAAATATTTAAATTACCATCCATAACAGTATCAAATTCCTGTCATGAAGTAGTAATGGAAATAATTTTAGGCCAGAGGTTACCACAGCTGTATTAAGGGCTGCAGCATTAGGAAGGTTGAGAACCACTGTTCTAAAGAGTCAATATTATGCCCATTTATTTATTTCCTCAAGTCACTGGTGGAAACTGCTTCCTGCCATTAGTATATCTGTGGTAACTTTAACTCTCTTTAGCTCTTCTAGAAATGAACTGCCTTCAGACTGAAACTTGGGAGGCGGTGTTTACACACGGGTCTTTCCACTGATCTGCACCACCCCAGCTTTTCTTTGGAGCTTGACTGGCAAAGTGAGTTTTACTATTTTCTAATTCTAATATGGAACAACAGAGAACTGTTCCAGTCTGAAGAGCAGGGTACCATGCCCCTGGCCTTTTGGTCTTGATGTTGTCCTAACTCAACCATCGCCAGGGACTATAGTTCCAGTTGGGAGTTTCAATCTGCAACAGAGCAAAAGGTTCTGGGGAAATTTTTGTTTGTATTTTGCTTTCTTTATTTCTCTTTCTTTTTGATAGTTTATTTTTTGAGAACTTCATACATAAGTACTGCATCCATATCTACCTCTCCCACTTCTAACTCCTCTTTCAAATTCATGATCTCTTCTTTATTATTACATGTATGTACATACATGAGTATGGTATATATATATATATATATATATATATATATATATATATATATATATGTAACCCACTAAGTCCATTGGCTTTGTTCATATGTACTGTGTCCAGAGATGGGCATTTTGGATTGGACAATCTATGTGGGAGCTTGTCCATAGAGAACATTGAACCTCTCTGTAGTCACAAAGCCTATATCCTTTCACCTAGTGGTTGGGTCATGTGGAATTTCCCCTGTCTACAGTGGACTGTTAACTAAAGTTGTCATTATGCTAGTCTTGTTCAACCAACCATATTGTTGAGAGTTCATGGGTGGAGCTTCCCTGTCTATGGTGCCTAGGAGATACAGTGTAATACAGGGTAATACAATGTAATAGCAGACATCCTCAGCCTCTGACTCTTAGAATCTTTCTGCCTCTTCTTCCACAGTTTTCTCTAAGCCTTGGATGTTACTTTTCACATGTATCAATTGGGGTGGAGAACCCTATAGTCACTTATTCCTCACATTTTGATCAGTTGTGGATCTTTTTAATAATCTCCATCTATTGTAAAAAGAAGATACTTTGATGAGGGGTGAAAGGATAAGTATTTAGAAAACAATAAAATTGTATTGGTTTAAGAAACTGTCAAGATAGACACTCCTCTTGGGTAGTCACTGGTAGTGGGCTAGTGTTACAGCACTAGGCATGAATACCTGGTGTGGGAGGTCCTTGTGTCTATGTATTGCTTTTCTTGATTAATGAATAAGGAGATTGCCTTGGCCTGTTGGTAGGGCAGGGCTTAGATAGGCAGGAAAGACAGAACTGAATGCTGGGTGGAAGAAGGGCAGAATCAGAAGACGCTATGGAGCTGCCACCAGAGTCAGACATGCCAGAATTTTGCTGGTAGGCCACGACCTCGTGGTGATATACAGATATAATAGAAATGGGTTAAATTAAGATATAAGAGTTAGCCAATAAGAAGCTAGAGCTAATGGGACAAGCAGTGATTTAATTAATACAGTTTCTGTGTGGTTATTTCGGGACTAAGTTAGCCAGGTGGCCGGGACAAACAAGTAGGTCCTCTTCCTACAAATATCACCATGTTGAGTGGGCCTTAAGTCCAAGTAGACAACTGTTTAATTACCCCAAAGTAAAAGTGCCACTATTGACTTTTGTGATTATCTTGGCGGTCCAGTCATTCTTGTATTTCATGGGCTTTATAACTGTGTAGGACTATCAGTCCCTCTTCTCCCTGTAGGATTACCAGTCCCTCTTCTTCCTTGACAACTTGCATAATACTTTCTGATAAGATGAGAGCTAGTTTTTGGGGAGGAGGCTTCCAGATTTATTTCAGCTCAAGTCTTTCAAGATCTGTGTCTAAAGTATGTGGTGTCTTGAGCAATAGGGTCTTACATTCAAATTCTGGGAGGGAATTAAGGACAATAACAGTAGTCCACATTGATAGCTTTGGAATTCTCTTGGGCTTCCCTGATCAAAAGCTAGAAAAGATGTTTCTCATGCTTGGTACTGTAGTTTTTATTAGATAGTCCATGGCTTTTGGAGGAAGCATTATCACCCCAAATACTATAACTTCATCTGAATTATAAACATAATATATGATCCCTTATGCCTTTTCCAAACATTCATAGTATTACTTCTGTTTCCCCCTCCCTCTGTATTGCTCTCCACCTCCCACCTAAAGCTCCCCCCACTCCTCCCACCACAGCACCTGTTTCCTCCTGTTTCTATATCTAGGGTTCCTTTCAAGGCAAGAAATCAGTTCTTCAGCTTCATGCTCATTTCTTGTTACTGGGAAAGCACTGTGTGCCCCTCTCCCTCCGATGCCCACTTAACACATTGTCTGACATGCTTTCGTTAGCAAAATCTGAAATTTAGACATCAATGTTCTACTTACAGATTCATATTGCTTATTATACTTGACACATACCTCTGAGATCTAGGTGCTGTAGAACTTTTAAAGACAGAAAGGATGGTGGTAGAGAACTTATTTGATTGTTGTTTGCATGTAGACTAACCAGGCTTCTCAACTCCCCTATATTTCTTGGAATCTCTTTGATGGCATTGTTTGAGATATCAAGTGTTTTGAGTTGAATCATATTAGACAGCTCTTCTGGAAGTCTTGTTAACTGCAAAAATGATTAAACAATCATGATTTTAAAAATCCATAAGTATTTGTATCACTACATTTTCCTTTTGAAAACAAGTGGAAAAAATAAAGTTTTGTTTTAACCTTTTCCTAAGGAGATACTTTCATTCTGTCACAGATTCTTTGTGACTTTACATCCTAAAAATCCTCAAACTTTTATGTAACTCCCATGTAACTCATGGTCTGATCAGTGCTTCCTAATTAGCCCTGTTGCTTAAGAACCTCTTTCTTCCCACACCCCAGCTCAGTGTCTGCTGTCACCCACTCTCATCTTTCTTGTCTCCCTAGAGTTAATGCTGCCTTGTCTTTTGTTCTTCCCTGAAGCTTTTTCAACTACTCAGTCACACTTTATCTTATTCTCATCACAGAGAGCAATAGAGGAAGACACCCGCCCTTACTCATGGGTATAGACCACACATATACACCACGCAGAACCCATACACAATGCAACACATACATACACACATACCATACATATACACACAATACAACACATAAATCACAAGAATACACACATACAACACAAATACACATACACACACAAACACACACACAAGAAGGAATAGGATTGAAGTACATTATGTAAAGCAGGATAAACATTATACATAAATAGAATTGATGAGGAGGTATCCATTACAGAGAAGTGTTAAAAACTTCACAGAAATACATAAGTAAGCAAGATTATGAAAGACTGACGGCCAAGCTTACGTAGCAAGAATAAGATCAGCATAGGTCTGTAGGCCTGTCATTGAATTTCCTTCAAATGAATGTTCTTTTTGAAAATTTTATTTAATTTTCTTTGAGACAGTGTCTCTCTGTGTAGGCTTGTTGTCCTAGAACAGGTGGGCCTCAAACTCATTGAGATCCACCTACTTCTGCCCCATAACCTCCTATGCTGGAATTAAAGATGCGGCCACCACACCTGACTAGATATTCTTTAAATGTTTCTCAATGCTTGTAGAGGAAGTGAGAGCTCTGTGATGAAGCAATGATGGAGCTGATGTTGAAAGAAAAGACCTGAGCAACTTCCACTTTGCCCAAGGGAAGCTCTGTGACTAACCTGACCCATCTTCTTCAGATGGTTGATTGTTGAAGGACTGTTGAATCATCTTCTTCAGATAGTTGGCTGTTGAATGACTTTTGAATCAGCTAGTCCTTTAGGTATTCTGTCTCTTTTTGTTTATTTGTTTGTTTTTTGAGACAGGATTTCTCTGTAGCTTTGGAACCTGTCCTGGAGCTAACCCTTGTAGACCAGGCTGGCCTCCAACGGACAGAGATCTGCCTGCCTCTGCCTCCCAAGTGCTGGGATTAAAGGCGTGCGCCACCACTGCCTGGCAAGAAGGATTCTTATAAACAATGTTTTCCCATCTAAAGACTTTTAAAATGATGTTGTAAAGACTTAATTGGTGCTTTTGGCAACTACTTTGATCCTAAATTTCTTTCCTCCCTCTTTTCTTCTTCCTTCCTTCTTTCTCTTTCCTTTCTTCTACCCCTCCTTTTTTAGACAGCTTCACTCTGTATTACAGGTTCAACTTACTATCCTTTCACTCAGCCTTGTGAGTGTTGGGATTACAGTCATGTGCCATCATGCCCAACAGAACACATTAACATCAGTCCCTGTGGGACTGAAGACATTGTTTAGCAGTTCAGAGTCCTTGCTGTTCCTGGAAAGGATTGAAGTTTTATTCTTAGCACCCACACGGCAATTCACAATCAACTTTAACTCCAGTTCCAAAGTATCTGACACCCTCTTTTGTCTTCCATGAGATTCAAGCAGGCTTTATATGCATATACACTGAAGCAAGACACTCATACACATACAATAGAATATGTACTTTTTTTAAAAAAAAAAAGTCTTTTGGAATGAAGTCTGATGACTTTGACAAGGCCTGATAAACAGAAAAATAAGTCAGAGAGAACAGGAAAGGCAGTTACTGGAGTAAACTAAGCATAAAACAAGTGTTATATACATGGGTAAAGACAGAGAAAGTGACATTAAAAATTCCAGGGGAAATTATCAACTGTGGAACTAGAGTGCTAGGGATTATGTGTGTGACAGGTAGGTGTGATGACATCGAACAGTTAATGAAAAGTTGGTGTTATGCAATAGAATATTTGTTTAACTATGTAAAGATAAGTTGCATTTGCTTATTCTGTGGAATATTCATTTAACTAGGTAAAGAAGTGTTGCATTTGTTCAATTATGTAAAGATGTGTTGCATCTGTTTATATTGTGGAATATTTGTTTAACTCAGTAAAGATGGGTTGCATTTGTTATGTTGAGGAATATTTGTTTAACTAGATAAAGATTGCTGTTTTACCTTCCCTGTTTAAGGCACCCAACTGGTCTGATAAAAAATAGAATGGCCAATAGCTAGGCAGAGGAGGGATAGACAGGGCTAGCGGGCAGAGAGAATAAGTAGGAGAAGTAATCTAGGCTCAGGTGAGAAAGGGAAGAAAGAAAAGAGATGCCAGGGGCCAGCCATCCAGACATGGATAAAGCAGGAATACATAATAAGAAAGGTAAAAAGTCAAAAGGCAAAATGTAGATGAATAGAAACAGGTTAAATTGAGTTATAAGAGCTAGTGGGATAAGCCTAAACTAAGGCTAAGCAATCCTAATTAATTATGTCTCTCTGCTTTATTTGGCAGCTGATTGGTGGCCCAAAGAAAGTTCCAACTACAGTTAGGGACATAGTCTAGAGGAGTCACAAGACATAGCAAGAGATACTCAAAGTACTTAACATAAGCTAGTCAAATTAGCTGGTAATTATATTGAAGAATCAAAATATGTATTTAATACAAAAGTAACTTTACTACATTTTGTCTCATTCTTCATTCCATGAGGACACACACTGCTACTGTGGCAGACTTGCTGAAAATGTATTACATAGTAGATATAAGATATAAAAGCCAGATAACTTTGGTTCTGAGCCATAGATCATAGAGATTATTTTTGAGCAAAAAGGAAGATTTTTTAAGAACAGATTTTAGAGGTATTTTGCTCTGAATAATAATCTAGCACTAAAAATGGTCAGATGATAGTTGTGTTTATTGAGAATTAAGGATATATCAATAATTTAAAAAATAGTTCCAAAGTTTGAGGTATAATTTAGTAGCAGAGAATTTACCTACAATGTGAGGAATAGGTTTGTTCCCTAACACCTCAGAAAATAAGTAGTAAGAAGTAAATAAGCAAATAATTACCCTATACATTTCTAGGAGTAAGTTCCAAAGAAAACAGCTTGAAATATGAAAAATATATTTATGACGAAATTTACTAAAGCATTATCATGAAGAAAATATTATTTCAGAGGAATACTACATAAATCATGTATTTATTATAAAAGTTATTGGGACTATTATTATGTTCTATTAAGGATAAATGCTTATGTAGAATAAAAGTTTAAATTGAATTTGTAGTCTATACCTGAAAGAGACTAAAAGTACATTAAAACAATATATAATAGTTTTATTATTAAATGTCTGTGGGAAATTTCTATCATATCAATTTTCTAGAATTTCAGTGCTGCATTATGGTAGTGGGGATCAAACCCAGAGTCATGCATGAGTTGGCAAAATACTGCCAATGAGCCACATTCCCAGCTCAACCATGTGTATGATTAATAAACTTTAAAACTTCTTACAATAGGAGTCAGTAGATGACCCAGTAAATAAAGTATCTGAAAGCATGAAGATCTGAGTTTGAATCCCCTGCACCCATTGGAAAGCTGGGACCGTGCATATAACCCCAGTGCAGAGGGGTTGAGGTAGAGACACATTTAGTGAACAACTAGTCTAGCCAATCCATGGTCTCCAGGTTCAGTGAGAGATTGTCTCAAAAAAAAAAACAGGTAGAAATAATGGGCATGGTGACACATTGAATTCCAGCAATCAAAACAGAAATAAAACAGGTTGATCTCTGTGAGTTCAAGACCAATCTAGTCACCACGGTAAATTCCAGGACTGCCAGAGCTACACACTGAGATCTTGTCTAAAAACTAAAAAACCCAAACAAACAAAAAATAGAAAAAAATTGAAGAAGACACTTTTGGCTTCTGCATGTACCCATGTGCACACTGTACACACTACAGGAATGCATACATGTACAAGACACATACAATTTAAAATTTCCCAGTGAATTAAATAGAAAGCAATCTACAAAATCATCTACTTTGTTTCACATTGCACTTGAATGAGATGTTGTCCTGTAAAGCTTTTGTGTTTTGTCTCTAGGTCATGTTTTCAAACAGAACATTTCACTTATTTAAAATACACACAAAAGAACTTCCATGTTGTCTTAGTTAAGGTCACTACTGCTGTGATAAAACACCATGACCAAAAGCAACCTGGGGAAGAAAGTGTTTATTCCAATCACAGTTCCATATGACAGTTCATCATCAAAAGCAGTGAGCTGAGGCAGGAACTCACACAGGGTAAGAACCTGGAGGCAGGAGCTGATGCAGAGGCCATGGAGGGGAGCTGCCTACTGTCTTGCTCGTCATGGCTTGCTCAACCTGCTTTCTTATTGAATCCAGAACCACCAGCCCAGGGTGGTGCCACCCACAATGGGCTGGGTCCTTCCCCTTTGATAACTACTTAAGAATATGCCTTACAGCTGGATCTCATGGAGGCATTTTATCAATCAAGGTTTCCTCCTCTCTGATGACTCTAGCTTGTGTCAAGTTAACATAAAGCTAGCCAGGACACAAGTACAATGTGTCTTAGGTTGAGATTCCTCTAGTCGCCCTGCCCTCCAAACCCAGAAGAGCACTCTTACCTTTTTCCCACTCGCCTGACTCATATTCAGCTCCTCCAGGGTTTGAAGTTGGCATACTTCAACAGGAAAATGTGTGAACTGATTGCTCGAGAAGTTTAATTTCTGGATCCCTTTCAGTTTAGATATGTCTGAAGGTATTTTCTGTAAGTGATTTTCTGAAATATCAAGTACTTGCAAGTTTTTTAAAGCACACAGTTCCTCTGGAAAAATTTCAAACTTATTACCAGACAGAATGAGCACATGGAGTGACACCATGGCAGAGATACAGGGAGGAATTATCTTTATTTGGTTTTTACCAAGATCCAGGTATTCAAGATTAGTGAGAGAACACAGGTGTTCTGAAAACATGGGGAGTTTGTTTCTATTCAACTCTAGATGAAGCAGCTCCTTACTGAATGATATATCCACAGGGATTTCTGAAATATAATTTCCATTAAAACTCAGGTAGTCAAGTGCCGGTAAAGCACACAACCCCACTGGGAAGTACATTATATTGTTGTAATTCAATTCAACTCTGGTTATTTTTTTGCAGTTTTTTATTTCAATCGGAATGTGTGTGATTTGATTGCCTGAAAACTCCAGGCTGTTTATGTTATTAAGATGTGAGATTTCTTCAGCCATTTTTATCATTTTATTTCTGTTAACATGGAGCTGTCTCAAATTTTTAAGCCTATGAATTTTCCTAGGAAGCTCTTCTATGTTATTATCACTAAGACTAAGATATTCCAACAGTAGACAGTGGGAAATTTTCTTTGGTATGTTTTTCAATAAGTTTTTATCAAGGTTAAGAAGTCTGAGTTGTCTGAAATTCTCAATTTTGTTTGAAATAGCTTCCAATTTATTGTCAGCTAGCTGAAGTTCTTTTATTTTGGGCAGCTGAAAAATTTCCACAGACAAAAAGGTAAGTTTATTATGATCCATTAAAAGGGTTTCTAAGTTTTTCAGCTCCCTAACTTCTTTTGGCAAACTGCCTATCATGTTTCCAGTAAGGTTTAGTGAAACCAATTTTGGAAGGAAGCATAGGGACTTAGAAAATATTGTCAATTGGTTATATTCCAGATTAAGAATTTGCAAGTTCTTCAAACTGGACAAAGACTCTGGTATATGTGTTAACATATTTTTACCTAAACTTAAAATTTCCAAATTTCTAAGACTTTCCAAGCCAGCAGCAGGTAAATCCTCAATTAAATTACTATTTAAAAAGAGTTGTGTCATATTCCTAAGTTGTAATAGTTCTTTAGGGATGCATGATATCTGGTTGTAACTGGCATTTAGTATCCTTAAGTTGTGAAGCAACTGTATTTCCATGGGAATTGATGGCAATCCATTTTCTTGCAGGGACAGAATCTCAAGTCCTAGCACATCTCCTGGATCTGCCCCTTGGAAAGTTTTTATTTGATTCTTATCTAAATACAGATATTTTACATATTTGACTTTTAAAATGTCCACAGGGAATTCTTGTAAACCCTTGGCCTCAAGATTAACTGCAAAGTTATCTGCCTCTAAGTCAAATTCTTTCTGATTTTTGGAGGTTTGTGGACTAACTTTCTCCCCAGATGGAAATCCGACATTTTGATAGTCTTCCATTGCCTTCGTCTCTGATGACACAGAGTTTCGGGACATTTCTGGTTTTGACAGTGGGGTGACATCTGCTATGTTGGCATCAGAAAACAGAATGTTTTTATTTTTCTCTTCATCTCTATTAAGTTGATTTGGAGAGGAGGCTGCTGACTGTTCTGTGCCCCCCTTTGAAGGATTTATTTCATAAATATGACTAGAATCTCTCCTTTCTGAATATGGAGAAGCTTCATTTAAGGGATCTGGTGTTTCTTCAATAAATCCACTTTCCTCTGGTGATCCGGATCTAGTGACTCTTCCAGTCTCTGAGTTGTTCTCATCTTCTGACATCTTATTTACTGGTATCTCTTCCACCAACTCAAGACTGTAACTCTACTTTTTTATGTTCTTTTTTCCTTTAAACCTACAAGAAAAATGTTGACATTAAAATAAGTGTAATAATGATGTTAAAAGCACACTTGTGGGGCTAACTGGATAGCTTCATCCCTCTCTCAGTCTCTTCAAATCCAATCCTCTAGTTTCATCCCTAGCTCTGTTCTGCAGAACACCAGCTGCAGCCAACTTTACCCTGTAGCTAGAATGATTAATAAAACCCAGAGACAGATATCGGAGTTCAAACTGTGGTGTAGGAGGGCCTTCTTTCTATGTGTTTCGTTCATTGGTTGAATAAAGAAAACTGCCTTGGCCTATTGATAGGGCAAAACTTAGATAGGCAGGGAGACAGAACAGATTCAGAGAGAGCCGCCATGAAGCTGCCAGGTCAGACATGCTGAATCTTTCCCGATAAACCACAAGCTTGTGGTGACATACAGATTATTAGAAATGGGTTGAGTCAAGATGTGAGAGTTAGCCAATAAGGGGCTAGAACTAATGAGCCAGGCAATGTTTAAAGGAATACAATTTGTGTGTTGTTATTTCAGGGTATAATCTAGCCAGGCTCCAGGAGCCAGGCAGCGGAAAGTGGCTTGCTGCTCTTTTTAAAACAAACCTGAAGACAAGAAAAGCAAAGCAGCCAGCTACTGACTCTTACCTCTACTTCATTCTGAAAATGGTGATACTGTCTCCAGAAATCCTCAGAATGAGACTGTGTGTGAGAGCTCTCTCCTGTTTTATATGCCTCTCTAAGGGCTGAGATTAAAGGCATGCACCACTACTGCCAGGTTTCTATGGCAAACTAGTATGATTACTGGGCTTAAAGGTGTGTGTCATTACTCTCTGGTATGGGACAATTCTGTATAAAGATGGAAAGCACACAGAGAATCTGGATACTGTATGTTATTATACACTCTTTGAATTGTTTGAATGCTGAGGAAGGAGCAACAGCTACTAAAAGATATTTGCTTATAAATGCTGTTGAATTAACCCAAGATAGGTATTTTGAAAATACCTTGACTTCAAAATTGAAGTCAAAAGGTATGTTACTTTGGAAAAGAGATTTTGCTTTTGTTTCCGCAGGAAATGAGAGGCTGTGAATTCATTCTGAGTTAAGAAAAATCAGATTTGATCAAGTAAGACCACCTGAGAAAACCCCAGTAGGAGCAGATGGCCTGGATGTCTGAGTTCTACATCCAAAACAGATTCAAGACTGCTGCCTGAGATGATCAAGGCTCACAGGATACTCCAGTCAGGACTTGATCATAATTCTAATTTTCTTTAGGTCCCCATAAGATTATCAGCACCCCCAACCAGCAGGAAGTAGCCTGGAATACTATGCCCTCATTCCCCAAAAATGGACTATGGATGTTCTTGTTTTCTTTTTTTTTTTAAAAAAGGGGGGGGGTGGGGGAAGTGGTGTGGGACAATTCTGTGTTCTGTTAATTATGTTTTAAATAAACACTGATCGGCCAATAGCCAGGCAGGAAGTATAGGTGGGACAACCAGACAGGAAGTAGAAGTGGGGCAATGAGAACAGGAGTATTCTGGGAAGAAGGTAGCTTTTTCTCCAGTCCTGCCCAGATCATGGAAGAAGCAAGATGTGACCTGCCCTGCTGAAAAAGGTACTCAGTCATATGGCTAACATAGATAAGAATAATGGGTTAATATAAGTTATAAGAGTTAATAAGAAGCCTGGGCTAATGGGCCAATCAGCCTTATAACTTATGTAGACCTTCTGTGTGATTCTTTGGGACCGTTGACTGTGGGAATCAGGCAGGACAGAAACCACGACAAGCAGCCCCTCATGTTACAACTCTCTGGTCTGTAAGGCTGACCAGTGCTGCTGTTTTATTCCTATCTTCAGGAAAATTTTATTTATTACAATACAAATGAAGTATCACTAAATTACCCTCCTGTTCCCATCTCCAGTGGACCACACAGATCTTCCCCTCTTCTCTGCTTTCATGCTACATGTATTTCATTATCTCCTTTCTCTGCTTTTTCTCCCTCCCCATCCCCTAAATTCTCTTCCCCTCCTCTATAGTTGTCTTTCTAGTTTCATAACTGACACTTATACACAAGCATACAAATTAAAATCGAGAATCCACATAAGATTCTGGATTATATCACAGAACTTAATGCTTTGCTGTTGCATCCATTTTCCTGAAAATATTTTGACTTCATTCTTTTGTATGGTGGAACGAAAGTCCATTATATATGTTAATCTTATTATTTTCTTTATCCATTTATCTATTGATGGATATTTAAGTTGGTTCTGTTTCTTAGCTTTGTGAGCAGTGTAACACATGGTGGCTATCCAAGAATGTCTGTGTAGTAGTTAAGAGTCCAGTGGGTTCTTCCTCTGAGAATTCCTTAGTGATTGGTTAGCATGTTTATTGACTGGAATATTTGTGGGGGGATTGATGTTTAATTTTTGCCGTTCTTCACATATTCTCTAGTTATCAACCTCTGGTCGTACATACAGTTGGTGTCTTAGTTTGAGTTTCTATTTCTATGAAGAGGAACCATGACCCATGGCAACTCTTAGAAAAACTTTACTGAGGTGGCAGATTACAGTTTCAGAGGTTTAGTCCATAGTATGATGGGAGTGACATCATGCAGGTAGACATGGTGCTGGAGAATTCTACAGCTTGATTCAAAGGCAACAGGAAGTGAACTGAGACACTGGGCAGTATCTTGAGCACATATGAGACCTCAAAGCCTGTCTCCATGGTGACACACTTCCTCCAACAAGGCCACACCTCCTCCAATGAGACCACACCTCCTCCAACAAGACCACACCTCCTCCAACAAGATCACACCTCCTCCACCAAGGCCACACCTCCTCTAACAAGGCCACACCTCCTCCAACAAGGCCATACCTCCTAATGGTGTCGATCCTTTTGGGGGCCATTTTACTTTCAAACCACCACAGTTGGAAAGGATTTTCTCTCCATTGTGGTGTGCAGGAACTTTTAACCATAGACCAATTACTCTGGTGAATATAGGCAAACAATTGTCAATAATGTACTTATAAACTAAATTCTAAGAAGTTTGTCAAGTTATGTCAAGGCTGAGTTGAATTTTATCACTGAGAGGTAAGGTTGGTTCAGTAGAAACAAATACAAATCAATAAATTTAATAAAACATAAAAACAGATTTGAGGTTAGCTATTTACATGGTCATCTCAATAGATCCAAAGAAGGTATTTAACAAAGTTCAGTGCCCTGTCATGATAAAAAAAAATCCTAAAGAAACTGAGAACATTAGTTACTTTTATTGCTGTGACAAAGGAAGGATCTGTTTTGCCTTACAGTCCAGCATGTCAGAGGGAACGAGGATGGCAGGAGCAGGAGGCAGCTGATCACACTGTATTCACAGTTAAGAAGTGGAGAAAGAACAAGAAGTGAAGCCAAGCTATAAAAACTCAAGAACCATCCTTGATTACATATTTCCTCCAACAAGGTTCCACCTGCTAAACGTTCCATAAACTTTTGGGAAAACATAACCTTTTGGGAAAACAGTACCACCAGCTGGTGATCAAGTGTTCAAACACATTAGCTTAAGAGGGACATTCCACACTCATGCTACAACAAAAAGGAACTTAGTTCAACTTAATAAACTTAGTTAAACTTAATAAAGGGTATATATATATATATATACATATATATATCAAATAAAGGGTTTGATATATATATCAAACACATATTTAACATATATGAAGTTGGAAGACGCTACATGCATATATCAGTATAACACTAACACTACAAGCATTATAATCAATAAGAATAGAGAAAGGGATAAAAGGCATACCATTTGTCCTAGTTAAGATTTCTATTGCATATATATCAAACACATATTTAACATATATGAAGTTGGAAGACACTACATGCATATATCAGTATAACACTAACACTACAAGCATTATAATCAATAAGAATAGAGAAAGGAATAAAAGGCATACCATTTGTCCTAGTTAAGATTTCTATTGCTGGAAGAAAAAAAGGTTTATTTTTCTGGGATGAATATGACCAAAAGCAACTTGGGTTCATTGAAGGAAGTCAGGACTCAAGCAGGACAGGAATCCGGAGGCAGGTTGATGCAAATGCCTTCAAGGGCTGCTGCTTGCTTGCTTACTCTCCATGACTTGTTCATCCTGCTTTCTTAAAGAACTCAGGACCTCCAGCCAGGGTTGGCACTACCCACAATTATCTGGGTGCTCCCACTAATCACTAATTAAGAAAATTTCCTACAGGCTTGCCTGCAACTAAGTCATATGTACTCATTTTCTCAATTGAGGTGCCCTCCTTGCCAGTGATTGAAGTTTGTGTCAAGTCAAAATAAAACTAGTCAGCACACCATTTGTAAGAAAGAAGTTAAATTAGCCCTATTTACAAACTCTGTAATTGAAGACTTAAAAGACCCTAAAGATATTACCAGAAAAATCAGCAAATTCTGTGGATCTCTGTAATGAGATTGCTATGAAATAAAACAGAAATATAACCAATTCATAATAGTTTTAAAAAATAAACACTAGGAGTAATGCTAACCAAGGAAGGGAAAGACCTTGACAATGTTTATTATTTATTTATTTATTGTAACCAAGGCTGGTCTTGAATTTATAAGAATATACCAACATACACAGCTATATTTTGCATTTCTAATTGAAAAAAATATTTGCAGGACCTCATCCTCACACATTAGGCAAGCAATCTATCATTGAGTTACTTGCTAGACGTCAAGAATTATTGATGCAACGAGCTTCAGAGGACTGAACTCCACAAAATGCTATTCACTCAATAGTACTGTTTTCCTGAAAGATAAAGTTTAATAACTCATAGCCATAGGCAATATGGAAAATTAAATTAAGTATTTTTAAATTAAAAAAATTCCTTCCTTTTTCTTTTGGTAACAGAATTGTCAGGGGTATTTACCACAAGCTATTGTGGGCCATGACAAAATTTCAGCTCATAGCAATTGAAAATCAGATATCACCTCACCAGAGAAAGTATTCCCTGATGGGGTACCCCATCAGCAAAGCTTGTGGACTATTGACTCTGAAAACGGTTGCTTTCATCTGTAATTTCATTTGTACAATAACAGCTATGATATCTCTCCATTACTATGTATTTTTATTCAATGTGTATATATAATCTCATGATTATATCTCAATTTATGGGCACACATATCTATGGGTGGTCAGAAACATGACTTTTCATTTAGTTATATAATTTTAGTATATAGAATATATTAGGACATGCTTCATAACTAGATCTATTTGTCCTATGAGAACTATAGACATTTAAAACCCTGACTTGTTTCTTTTGGCTCAACTAACTACTACACACAATTAGTTCACTTTCACCTAAGAACAATTTTAATCTAGACTAAAGGCATTTTGGAAATAGATTATAAGCTTAAAACTTTACAGCTATATACAAGGTCAGAATCACAGATGTCCAACCAAGGTTACTACACAGAGCACCCTAAGAAAAACAATTCTTTGTTTGTCAAATATGTTAACAATAGGCCTATGCTTCAAAATTTGTCACTGTGTACTGTGACCCCTCCCCATCTGGTCATATGTCTTATTTCTATAACTTTGGAATCTTGTGTTGCTATGGCAATGGTTCAGCTCCATATCACTTACCCTAGGAATGTGCTTTTGACCATTGAGAGGTAACCCTTAAATTTTTTTTTTATTGCTTCAAGACTCCTGTAAGGAGAAGAGTTTTTAGAATAGAGGGGGGAAAAGTTTGGAAAAATTAAGAGGAAGGACAGGAGAATTAAAATAGAAGCAGAATAATTAACGACTGATTCAAAAAAGCACAGAGTGAGAGATACAATTGCCCTCAGACTTTCACTGGCTGTTACTTTCTCTCTGAACCCTGAGAGGCCTTGGGGCTGAACCCCAAAGACTCTCATTACAGAATTCCACAGAAGAAAGAGGATCCACTCAAACTGGTAACTTGAGGAGGATTTAACCAAACGATGATTTACAGAGGTTGGACAGAGAATAGGGGACCAAATTCTGAGATCAGTTGTTTGTTTTTTAGTTTAGCTTTCTCTGTGGCCCAGGTTGTTGTGAACTTGTGAGTTTTTCCATCTTCACCTTCGCCACCTGGGTGCTAGACCTACAGCATGGATCATCACAACCTGCCTTAATTTGGACTGGGTGCCATTTGGCTGGAACCTCCTGCTTGACCAGGAGAGCCCCATTCCTGTCTCTCCAAACCCCACCCTCTCAGAGAATCTCCAGCAAAGAAAAGGTGCCAAAAAACTCAGTTCCACATTCTTGATGGCTGTGGGAGCTCCTTCTCTGAAGTTGCAAGTAGCTGAAGACCCCTTCTAAAGCATTCAGCTTTTGACCATATTTTGGCACAAACCCAGCTAGGGATAGATATGTCATCACCCTTCACATACAGGGTATATAAACATGCATATAAGAAGTATGACTTCTCCAGCCTCAATCTCTGGAGCTGGAGAACTCACCCGGGTGGGAGTTTTGCTCAAATAAAACAACAGTATTTTGCTTTTTTATTTCAGCTTGATCAGGCTTACTGCATCAGTGGAGAAATGTATTATCATGCATATAGAATACTGTTAGGTGCCAGACTTCAGCATGGATTACCATGCCCCACCCTAATTGGAACCATTTCAAAGTCTTCAGCTCATGGTCTTCAGCTCATGGTACATTTATATTGTGATAGAGAGTTTGGTACATTTATATTATGGAAGAGTGTTTTTAGCCAGGTTGTGGTGTATGCCTTTAATCCCAGCATTTGGGAAGCAGAGTAAGGAGGATCTCTGTGAGTTTGAGGCCAGCCTGATATACAAGAGTTAGTTCCAGGACAGCTAGGGCTGTTACACAGAGAAACTATGTCTCGAAAAACAAAACCAAAACCAAACAAACTAACAAGAAAAGAAGATTCAAAGCCTTTTTAAAAACAAGGACTGCAGTGTCTTGGTGTGAGTATAAGTGAGCTGGAGACCAAAGTCTCCATGGGTCTAAATTAGGTCAAGTGTTTAACCCTGAGTCAATGACTGTGGCCAGGGACTGGAATAATGCTTTTTAGATTGCGCTACATGGTTCAGCCTAAGCCTAACATAGCATCCACTTCCGCTAAATCACAAATGCTACAGACTCTGTCGTACAGAGCAGTGGTTCTCAATCTTCCTAATGCTGTGTCCCTTTAATACAGCCCTCATGTTGTGGTGACCCCACAACCATAAAATCGCTTTCTTTGCTTCTTCACAGCTTCATAACTATAAAAATATATTTGAGGAAATCTCCATTCTTCATAACATAGGAATTGTAATGTAAAGATCTGTGTTTTCTAATGGTCTTAGGTGACCCCAAAGGAGGTCTCGACCCACAGGTTGAGAACCACTGGTATAGAGGTACAGGCAACCTCACAGGAAAATCAGGTGCTGGAAAAGAAAATAAGATGTCTTCTACAGCTTGTTAGAGGTAACAATTGGCAATCTCAGTCACATGCTTTATTCCCAGGGACTGGGGATGATACTGAGAGTTTAATACATGGTATCATTTTCCAATAAGGTATACACTAGCAACATGTAGCTATTTCAATGGAAATTAAGTAAAATACAAGACATCTCTTTAGTCACAGCCATATTTCAGGTGTTCAATAGCCACATGTGACTGGTGACTAATGCTACTTGTGCACACTAGTCTACACTAGAAGTGTAGAATGCTGTTTCATTATGGTATTGAACTAGGTTATTTGAAAACACGTACCTAAAAAAATTATTTTTTAAAAATAACTGAAAAGGGGCTGGAGAGATGGCTCAGTGGTTAAAAGCATTGCCTACTCTTCCAGAGGTCCTGAGTTCAATTCCCGGCAACCACATGGTGGCTCACAACCATCTGTAATGAGGTCTGGTGCCCTCTTCTGGTCTGCAGACAGAATATTGTATACATAATAAGTAAATAAATAAATATTAAAAAAAATAACTGAAAAGTATTCAGTTGAAGGAGTTGCCATCAGTGACCCAAGAACATAGCTTGGCTAGTAAAGGTGTTTTCTGCCAAGCCTGACGACGAGAGTTCGATGCCTGGAACCCACACAGCATAAACTTCAGCAACTTGTCTTCTGACCTCCACATGTGAGTCCCCCATGTCCTGGGCACCTCCCTTTCTGCACATGTACTCTTTTCCACAAAGGTTGTAAAAGCTGAAATATACAACTAAGTAAAATTCTAAAAATGTATTTGAGAAAATCTCCACTCTCGTGAGCATTAAGTTCTATTTTAAAACACATTGCCAATTAGATAAGCAAACACAGATCCAAACTGTTTGAACAAGTATTAGTAAAGTTAAAGATACAAGGTAATTTGTTACCTACCTGAAAGATGTGGACATTCAGGTGACCACAGGACTTTGTCACAGAAAGCGACATCAACAGTTGCTTCCACGGTGTGAGAAGAAGCGCACTGAGCGGCGGCTAAAGCAGCGTGGGACAGAGTGCAAACACTAGAAGCGGCAGGCTGGGAACATGAGGGGAGGACGATGTTCAGGGCTGCAAGTGTTGCAGTAGGTGGAGGCAGGAAGTGCCTCCTCCGCTGTGCACCAGGGCCGACAGGGGCTGGCGCATGCGCGCAGCGAATGTCTGCGATTATGGCGACTGAGGCAGCGCAGGCTCAGCGTGTCCTGTCTCCCTCCGACGTTTGTGAGCTGGCTGTGGTCGCACACAGGGACCAGAAGGGTGGGCCCTGCTGTCCTTCAGCTCCCCAGTGGCTGCCTCCTGCCTTTATGGACTGTGTGCTGGTTGACCTTCTTCTCTTGGGGAGATCTCGCAGCCTGCCGCCAGTAATCTGATTTAGGTGGTCTGAGCTGAGCGTTGAAATAGCACATAACTTATCTAATAATTGTCTTTGACTAAGTGGAATTTGGGCACTTACTTATTTCTATTAAACCTTTGTATTTTTTAAAAAAAGTTTTTTAACTTGTACAAAAACTGCTTCTTTTAAAAATTGTTTTAAATTTATGTGTAGTTAGATTATCTGTGATTCAATCTGAATTTTGAGAATATACTATTTTAACCATCAGAATAATCTTCCCTTTCCCTCAAATCCTTCACACTTCCCTTTATGTCCCCATGTTCTCCCACACCCATCCTTAACATCTAGTAACTGCTATGCCCTCTGCCCTGTAGTTTTATCTTTCTCAGAATGTTCCCTAAAAGGAATACTACATTGTCTGAGTCTGGCTTGTTCAGTTAGCGTATTGGAACTTCGTAATTTCTTTTTGAGTAGTATTCCATTGTATGGGTATATCTGAGTTTGTTCACTCACCAACTAAAGGATATTTGGTAGTTAAGAGTAAATATGGTTCATAGTGAAAATGTATCATTTGATAAAACCCATAGAGAGAATAGTGTTAGAGGGGGAATACCCCATATTATACAATCCTATATAGGATGAAAGCTATATATGATTCATAGCAAACACAATACTCAATGAAGACAAATTCTGAGGCAATTCTATTAAAATCAAGCTGCCCACTCTCCACTCTCATTTAAAACAGTCTGAGGTTCAAGATACAGCAACATGACAAGAGAAGAAAATAAAAAAGGCACAAATGTGAAACAAAATCAAAGTAGCCCTGTCTACTGGTGATGCAATACTACAAAAAGAAACCCTAAAAATAACATCAGACAAATAGAGCTGATGTAGTAGTGTGTACAAAAATCCACAGCCATTCAACATACCAGTGGCACACTGTGAGAAATCAGGGAATTGAAAATAGTCAGAAAAAGGAGGTTCAGAGGAACACTCCCAGATGGAAAGTCCTCCCATGCTAATGAGTCAGAATGAATGCTGTGAAAGTGACCATATTACTAAGTATTCTACAGAACCAATGCTATTCCACTCAAAATTCCCATGCCATTCTTCAGAGACAAAAAAAAAATCTTAACAGTGATATAGAAGTATAAAAGATCCAAAGCAAAAATAATACCTGAGGCATTACCATACCTGGTGTCTTAGTTATTGTTTTATTGTTGTGAAGAGATAACAATGATCAAGGCAACTTATGTGTTGTGGAATATTTTAAGGTGTGTTGCTTTTGTTTATGTTGCATTTGTTTAACTCTGTGAAGTTGTTATTCTTTGCCTGTCTAAATCACCTGATGATCTAATAAAGAGATGAAAGGCCAATAGCAAGGCCGGAGAAAGGATAGGTGGAGCTGGCAGGCAGAGAGTATAAATAGAAGGAAAATCTGAAAGGAGAGAAGTAGCAAGATAGAACAATGAGGAGGACAACAGGGGACAGCCACCCAGCTACATAGCAAGCCATGGAAAACGAAGGTAAAGAATGGTATACAGAGAAAGATAAAAGCCCAGAGGCAAAAGATAGATGGGATTATTTGAGGTGGATTTAAAAAAAAAAAAGCTGGCTAGAAACAAGCCAAACTAAGGCCAGGCATTTATAAGAAAGAATACGACTCTACGTGTGTGGTTTATTGGCAGGAAGCTGGGTGGCAGGAAGCTGGGTGGCAGCCTCCAAGAGTAAAGAGCCCAAGAATAAAAACAAACTTATGAAAGAAAGCATTTAACTGAGGCCTTGCTTACAATTTCAAAGGCTTAGTCCATGACCATCAGCAGGGAACAAAGCGACAGGCAGGCAGATATGGCATTAGAGCATTATGAGAGCTTATATCTGATCCATAAACAGGAGGCAGAGAGACTGAGCCTGACACACCTCCTCAAAAAAGGCCACACTTCCTAATTCTTCCAAAACACTTCTACCAACTGGGAACCAAACATTCAAATTTATGAGCTTATGCAGGCTGATCTCATTCAAACTGTTGTGGAATATTAGTTGATCACAGTCACTTACACTGTACAATATTTGTTTAATGTGCTGCATTCTTTTACGTTGCACAGCAGCATTTGGGAGGCAGAAGCAAAAGCAGAAGCAGGAGGACCTCTGAGTTCGAGGACAGCCTGATTTATAGAGTGAGTTCCAGGACAGCCAAGGCTACAGAGAGAAACCCTGTCTTTAAATACAGAATCAAACAAACAAACAGCATGGTACTGGCATAAAAATGCATGTAAATCGATGAAAGACAAGACCCAGACATGAGCCACACCAATACATAGTCATCTAGTTTTTGACAAAGATTCCAAAAATACAAGTTGGAGAATAAACAGCACATTCAACAAAAGGTGCCAGACAGCAGGATGCTTACATGCAGAAGACTAAAATCACATCCCTATTTCTCACCCTGTACAATACAAAACAAAACAAAAAAACTCCATGTAAAAATCTGAAACTCTGGGGGCTGGAGGGATGGCTCAGAGGTTAAGAGCACTGACTGCTCTTCCAGAGGTCCTGAGTTCAATTCCCAGCAACCACATGGTGGCTCACAGCCATCTGTAATGAGATCTGGTACCCCCTTCTGGTCTGCAGGCATACATGGAGGCAGAATGTTGTATACATAATAAATAAATAAAACTTTAAAAAAAAAAAACTGAAACTCTGAAACTACTAGAAGAAAAAGTAGGGAGTATGTACAAGACAAGGACTTTCCTAAGTGGAATTCTGATTGCTTAAGAAAAATGGCCAATCACTGACTGATGGAAACTCAAGAAACTAAAAAGCCTTTGTGCAACAAGAGAAGCAGCCGATCAAGTGAAGAAGTAGCCTACAGGCTACAGAATGGAAGCAAGTCTTTGCTAGCTAGATATCTAACAGGATTAATAACAAGAACACAAATAACTCAAGAAACAAAACATAAAGAAACAAGTCCCAATAAAAAAAATAAGTCACAGATCTGAAGAGAAAGAGAGAAAGAGAGACACAGAGAGAGAGACAGAGAGACAGACAGAGAGAGAGACATCTCAAAAGAAGTAGATGTGGCTGCTAATGTAGAATTTCCATATACACCAGCTGTATCATTCCTGGGCATCTAATCTTCAGGACTCTATATATCCTTTTACAAAAATGTGTGCTCATCCATGTTCATTGCTGTTCTATTTGCAATAGTCAGGAAATGGAAAGAGTTCATCAACAGATAAACAGATAATGAAGACATAATCTATCTACCTACCTATCTATCCACACATACACACAATGGATTCATCTGCAAATAAAAGGTAAATTATGAAAATTGCAGGTAAATGAATGGAATTGGAAGGTTATACTGAGTGAAGTAACCCAAACCCAGAAGTATAAATATTCTCTCATTTGTGAATTCAGCCTGAACTATGTTTAACTTGGAATTCGTGCAGAAGCCAGGAAACTGGAAAAGAACAGTTGAAAGGAGATGCCATAAGAAGATGAACCTAAAGAAAATCATATAGCTATCCTCTGGGATATTGGAAGTAGACAAGATTGCCAGGCAAAACTTGGGTGCACAGGGGTGGGGGGGGAATGTAAGGGGAGATGGGTAGAGAGAAGGGAGAAGGGGAGGATTTGGGAAAATTTGGGGGGAAGGGATGGGTGGGATGGAGGAAGGGTGGATATGGGAACAGGGAAATAAATATCTTAATTAAGGGAGCCATTTTTAGGGTTTTGCAAGAGACTTGATTCTAGAGGGGTTCCCAGGTACAAGGGGAGGTCCCTAAAATGTTCCTTGGGCAGCAGAGGGAGAGGGTGCCTGAACTGGCCTTGTCCCATAGCCACACTGGTGAATATCTTGCATATCACCATAGAACCTTCATCTGGCGATGGATGGAGATAGAGACAGAGACCCACATTGGAGCACGGGCCTTAGCTCCCAAGGTCCAAATGAGGAGCAGAAGGAGGGAAAACATGAGCAAGGAAGTCAGGACCACGAGGGAACCTTCATCTGGCGATGGATGGAGATAGAGACAGAGACCCACATTGGAGCATTGGACTTAGCTCCCAAGGTCCAAATAAGGAGCAGAAGGAGAACATGAGCAAGGAAGTCAGGACCGCGAGGGGTGCGTCCACCCACTGAGATGGTGGGACTGATCTAATGGGAGATCACCAAGGCCAGCTGGACTCGGACTGATGGAGCATGTGATCAAACCGGACTCTCTGAATGTGGCTGATGGTGGAGGCTGACTGAGAAGCAAAGGACAATGGCGTTGGGCTTTGATACTACTGCATGGACGGGCTTTGAGGGAGCCTTGTCTATTTGGATGCCCACCTTCCTGGACCTGGGGAGACTGGGGAGGACCTTGGACTTCCCATAGGGTAGGGAACCCTGACTGCTCTTTGGCCTGGAGAAGGAGGGGGAGTGGGAGTGGGGGAAGGGGAGGGAAGTGGGAAGAGGGGAGGAGGTGGAAATTTTTAATAATAATAATAATAAAGAAAAGGATGATATGAAAGTAGAAAGGATGGAAAACTTTAAGCAGGAAAGAGGGGTGGAAGCAGAGGAACATGGGGTTAACCAAAATAAAGTATGTATAAAAATGCTACTTTGTAAGCTAATTAAAATATTTAAGTAAAAATATCAGTTGTGAGAGGATGCCCTGCTAGGCTGGATGCTGCTGTTCCTAGAAGCCACTGGCTATTAACCATAAATGCCAGTGCCAGCTGTGAGAGCTCCTTTTGATTTGTTGGGCAGGGGCATCCCAAAGGACTCCCAAACAATGCAGGCTGCTGTCATACTTCTTGCCTGTCC